TAATCAGTACCAGCTATGCTATAGGATCTAAGTAAAAAAGGCAATAGTGGGCTGTCAATAAAAAAGTAAAATTCAGTAGTATTTAAAAGCATTTATAAAAACATCTTCTCTAAAGCAACTCTACTAGTATTCTGCAGGGTCAGAAGGGCAATATTGTCAACTTCTTGACAATATTCTAACCCAGTACATAAAAGCCATACCAGTTATTGGTCTGCCCTGGGCCAGCACTCTGTATCTACCTTTTCCAACCTGTACAACAAAAATACTGTTTTATTCACTGATTAGTTACACTGCTAAATGCAGGTCCATTTGACTCTCAAATTCATGCTCCCTGTTCTGCCTCTGTGAGTACAGACCAAATTCCCTGTTTTAGACAATGTATTACTGAATTGGGTATTTACTCAACACAGTATCATACAATACTTGCTTGAAACAATGAGCCAGGGGTGAGAACAGGAAATCTGTTAATTGAGAGTCTCTCCTGTAAGGGTGAAAAGAGAATCAGCAGACACGTGTATTCTGAAAGAAACATTACGGACACGTCTAAACTGTGCAGGAAATGTTAATCAGACTAAATTTTTCTTTCAAATTCCCTTTTTATTCTAAGCTGACAGCCCTTTTCTCTTCTAGTTATGAATATATCCTAAGAATACCTTGTAAATTTTCTGAAATTTCAGTACCAGTAATGAAGTATAAGGCAAAAAGCAGCAAAGGCCTGTCAGTTTGCAATCCCAAATAAACCCCCAAATCACGACAGACCAGTGATGACACGTACCTCTCGGCTGGCAGTGATATCTGAAGGTTAAGCTCATGACACTGAACACTGACTCCACTTGGAAAAATCTTCAGCATCAAGGCCATGGAAGAAAATATTAAAACAGGACACCAAACCATTTTTCCCCTTCCCACCGAGTGTTTATTTTATAGCTTTTTCATCAGGTAATCAACTGAAACACTTGAACAACAGAGAGCTGGCAGAATGTTAAGGAAAAGGAGTGATTATCTCTCCAACAGATGTGACAAAATGGTTTAACTTGGAAACAGTATTGTGTAAATGAATCAAGTGAACAGCAGAGGGGGAGAAAGGAGAAAGCAGAGACAGAGGAAGGAGAAAGCATCTTCCAACATGGATCGTGAAGGGGGAAAAGGCACTCTTCTTCAGCTGTCTTGTGTATTTATAAAGTGAAAGTCAAAATATACAATCCATGTTTGCCAAAATTACATTCGACATTGCTTTAGAGATGCTCACACACCTTAGTCTCAGTAGAAAGCTTTAGAAGCTGTCTGAAATATCAGATAGACAGCACCAGTGTGTCTAAACCATAGGCTTACCAGCAATGGGTTTTAAAAGAGACCATCACCATCAGGGTCCTTTTTATAAATAGTACTGCAAAGGTCACAAAGCTGCATGAACTTAAATTACAGGATAAATCTGACGAACTGATTGCCCATTTCTATCTTTACAATTCCCTCTCCAGTAAATCAGAAAGCAAGCTCCACTCCAGAGGAGTTGAATTGGCAGTGCATCTCAAACGGGGTGCTTTTCCCCTCCAAAGGCTGCCTGAGCAGCAGGTTAGTTGGCATCATCCAGCAGCTTTGCATAGGGTAAATGGATGCAAAAATTTAACAGCAATTGCCTTACTTCCTCTCAAAGCAAACAGCACTAACTTATGAAGAGGCAAATTTCATCTCATGAAGTAGAAGCACCTGGACCTCTTAAAAGACAAACTTCATAAAAGGTTACAATACCGGGTGCCTCTCATAATAAAGGATTTTAGGGCCATAGGTGTGTTTGAGAATGATCAATGGGAAAAACCAGAGAGATGGTTTACACAGATGTTCTCTATGTAGAATTTGAATAGCAATTAAAATACCAGCTATGCATTTGGGAACCAGCCTTTAGTTCAATTCTCTAGTGCTTTTAGAATTTTTATTTCATTTTATTAGAAAAGGAGAATCATTGTCTACAAACTATTTTCTTTCTAACTATGCAAATACAATGAGCAAATCACCTGCAATATCAAAATACTGTTTGTAAATCACAGATGGGACTCACAATTTTAGGAATCTCTGATAGGACATATATTGAGAAAGAACAACAGTGGACTTCAAATTATAGGCATTAACTGAATTTTAAGAATAGAAAATAAAATGCAAAGTTTAAAAGTCAGTACGTTTTTCTCAGATTTTCAGTCATTTAAATCCAATCATCAGGAATTCAGAAGCACCCAGTATGTTCGAAGTTGCACAAATGTGTATGGATGACAGAGAAGTAATCCCCATGCAATACTTTCTGTGTTGCTGTCAGATATATTTAAGTGATACTTTACAGATTAAAGCTGGGTAAAACCAAAATATGTCCTTTCCATTACATTTTAAAAGTCACAATAATTTATCAATGGTTGCCATTTCACAGCAATTAGAAAACAGGAGTTGATACAAGTTGAACAAAAAAGTACTTTTCCCTCTTTTAGGAAATAAACATATATATATATATACACACACACATACACACATAACATTATCTTTAAAATTCAAAGTGGTTAATTTGCTATTGTATTATATAAAAAAAAATTTTCCCCTATTTTCAAAATACTGAAAAAAGCGCAGAGGCTGAAAAAGAAAAATCACACTTGCCACTTTAAAAAAATACATTATCATCTCAGTGGTTCTGTTTATTTGATTATAAAGTTAGTTATTTATAAGGACTCTGCACTTGTCAGGCTCCTAGGACTATATTAGACCACATGGGATTAAACCTAACCCTTTCTCAGTCTCCAGGAAGGATACTTCTCACCCACCCTGAAAGATGATAGCATAAATGCCCCTATTCTGAACAGCTAAACTGGGAAAGAAAACCTGCCCACCTGGAAGCAATCCAAGTTATAAAAGTTTATGAATCTGTGGGAGAGACCGCCTGGATCAGAAAGCCATTCTTTGGATATAAGTTAGGAGCTGTTTTGGAAGTATATAAACTCTTTTAGGCCAGTAGAGTACAGATTCAAAAGTGATTTCTCCATAAATAATAACCTGCTACAGGGGTTGGCAAAGTAAAACCCATGGTCCATATTTGGCCTGTCAGCTGTTTCAGCAATAAAGTTTTATTGGGACAGAGCCATAACTCATCACTTATGTGTTGTCTGTTTTTATACTAAAATGGCAGAGTTGAGTAGTTGTGATGGAGACCTATGGCTTGCAAAGTCTGAAATTGTATGTACTCTCTGAATCTTTTGACCCTAGATCTATGTGCTACTCTAGTTACCTAAAAGAGCTGATGCGCCTTAAGATTTTAGCTGGACTCAGAGAATAACCTGCATCCTAGGGTTCCTTAGCGGATAAATGTCAGATGCCCCATCCCAAGGTGGTGCTTTACTTTTGGGCGAGGAAATCATTTGTATATATTTTCAACAAATGCCTGCAAAAGGTATTAAATACACAAAAAAGAAAGTCAAATAAGAAAAGCATGCTGTTGATATACTTTTAATATTGTCCTATTATTAGGGGGGAAAGGGTGTTACAATGACTTTTCCTGTCAACTTCTTTTAGCTTTTCTTTAAATTTGTCCAAAATGTCTTTTGATAAGATGCACTCTCTCCTCCTTCCATACAATCAACAACCTTTAAAGCAACCTCTCTGAAATGCCTACATAGTCTGGTGAGGCCTTATTTGGGGATATTTAAACTAAACATATTAAAGGTTACCCTTTTAGAAAATGTTTCTAAAATTCTTTATCTTTGCTACTCTAAGAAGTGGAAGAAATAAAGAATGCACAGGGAAATAAAATTCTGCAACATATACCTTAAAAACCAGAGGTATAAAATAGCTACCATTTCTGAATGGTAATGTAAAATAAAAACAGAAGTCTTCCACATTTGAAGAGCAAATTTTCCTCAGCCCTGAGTCAGCTAATGAAATCTTTTTGCAAACAGGGAACAACCTCCTGAACTAAAGCAGCTGCTCGTGAATCTGTAAGAGTTCACAGGTGTTTCCATTTTCAATAGTTGTTGAAACAGGGAAGATAAAACACTGAGAAGATATTTATTAAACACAAATATATATCAAGATGAACTGCTTTTTTCAACCAGCTTATAAGTGAACTTTTCTCTTTGTTAAAAAACGAATATGAAACTATATGTTAAAGATGTTTCCATAATACCTTACATTTATATCGCGCATTACAATTTTCAAAGTGCTTTCACATGCCATCTCATTTAATCCTCACAACACCCCTGTGAGGTAGGTACAGCAGGTATTATATCCTCATTTCAAGATGAGGAAACTGAGGCAGAGAGAGGTTAAGTGACTTGCCCAAGGTCACACAGCTGATAAGTGGCAGAGCCAAGTCAAGAAATCAAGATTTCCGACTCCTTGTCCAGTACTCTTTCCACTATAACTACTGCCCCCGATTATGAATAATGTACTTCGTATCAAAATTGAAAGGTTATTGAAGTTCATTTCAGTCATGTCTTAACAGTAAAGTTAAATGAGAAATATAAGAACAGTAGATCTGATGGTTTTACTTGACGTAATAAAATTGGTGCAAAATCACTTGTCTAATTACTTATAACCTTTTGGTCCAAATACATAAAATATGCAATATTTACAGCATTTTCCTTTTTTTTTTTTTTGTAAATGCAATGCTTTAAAACACATTATAAAGCACCTTAGTAAAAATAGTCTACAATGAAAAGTACAGAAGAAGTAGGAAAATCCTACCCATACCACAGCTCACTAATGGAGATATAATATGGAGTCACCGATATCTCAGTTTACAGCTTTACAAATAACCCGTGGAGAAACAAACACTAAATTTACTTTTTTGATATTAATATGTGGAAGCCTTAACTAAAACTTTAGGCAGGGTGGATCCCGGTGGTGGAGAGAGCAGCATGGGGCGGAGTGCCCAGGGCTGTGCTTCTGGGGCCCCGGCTAGCGTGCCCCGGGGGCAGCGCTCACCCTGCCAGTCCCACCACCCACCCCTTGCGGCCGCAGCCGCCAGCATGCTACACCCACTGCTGCTTGCCTGGCTCTGCCTGGCTGGCTGGCTTGGGGCCTCCCACGGCTGCCAGCTGCCCTCTGAGGGGAGACCCCTGAGTGAGGGCTGCCACCCCAAGCAGGCTGAGATCATTGTGTACACCAAGGTGCTGGCGCTGTACCAGGACGGGCATGGCCTGTGCAGCTACCTGCCTGCCCTGGCAGTATGCGGGGCTCCTCTACGGGGCCCAGATCAAGAAGCTGTGCAACCAGAGTGGGGCAGCATGCTCCAGGCTCAAGCTCACTGGCCAGGGCTACTTCTCCTGTCACTCCCACACTGTGGTCCAGGAGTACTCCTATTTCTTCTTCCTTAGGACAGATGAGGAATATAACCTCTAGCCTCATGGAGTCAGTTTCCAAGATACCATCTTTCCTGACACTCAAGAGAACAGAAGGATGTTTTCCAGCCTTCAAATTGTTTGCAAGGGCAGCAGCTGGTGACCTTCTCCAATGACTGGGAGGTCCAAGAAGACACCAGGCCCAGGTACCACATCCGAAAGAAGGACTCTGGAAAGATCCACAAAGCTGCCAGCATGGTAAACATAGCCAAAGTGCAGCATATTCTCTTGCTTGGAAATAATGGCATGAACAGTGACAAGATGAACAGGACTGCCCTCCACTTGGCCTGTGTCAATGGTCGTTCAGCAGGGGTAACTCTCCTCCTGGAGAGAAAAAACCTTCCTAACTTCTGTGACCATGAAAAGAGGACAGTGCTGATGAAGGCTGTAAATGTCAAGCAGGAGTTTGCAACTATTTTGCTGGAACATGGTGCCCACCCAAATGTCACCAACGTGAGTAGCAGCACTGCTCTCCACTTATGCTGCCTTTTGCCAGAAATGTATCACTTGCAGCAGAGCTGCTTTCATACAACACCAATAACAGAAGCCAGGAACAAGGATGACCTCACACCACTGTTACTTACTATAAGTGAAAGGAAACAGCAAATGGTGGAGTTTTTAGTAAAGAAAGCAGCAAATACACATATGGTTGATAAGATGAAAATAACAGCCCTCATGCTTGCTGTCAATTATGAGTCAAATGCAGTCAGTCTTTTTCAGCAAGGTATTTACATCTTTTCTCAAGATGTCTTTGGATGGACTGCTGAAGAATGTGCTGTTGTTAGTGGTGTTATGATTCACCAACTGATGACTGACTATAAAGAAAAGAGACACCTCCCCAAAATAGCAACTCAGTGGATAAGAATGCTGAGGAAGACTCTTTAAGTAGGTTTTCCAACAATCAAACCTGGTGTTGATTTATGGCCTACATCAGACAACAAAGTGTTAAGATTTTAAAACCAAGGTTGAAGAAGAAAAGCAGCAGAACAAAAGTAGTGAAATGCAAGTATCCAACAACATATGTGATGATGCTAAAGACTGGATTCATTCAGCAGAGAAAGAGTAGAAAAAAATTAGCAACCAGCTACTTCCTGCTACTGAGAATGAAGATTCTGATAGTGGCGATCCTAGCATGCATATGAAGGAAGTAAAGAAAAAGGACAATGAAAAATGGTCACCAAAATAATGTGTGATTACACCAATATTTGAAATGAACGATTTACTGACTGGTGGTCTGCTGCATATGAATGATGACAGTATTTTAAGTAAAGTGGATCAGGATGATGGCAAGCCTGCAAAGAAAATATCTAGTGAACAGAACAAGGTTGAAGAGCAAACTAATTCTGTGGATGACCCTGATGACTTAATTCAGTCATCTGAAACCGCTTCCAAGGATGGCGAGTTGAATTCCATGTTGCTAAGTGAACAATTTGGCAAGGGGTATAAAGATTCTAGTAGCTTGTTGCAAATTCAGGGTGCAATTCTTTCTATGAAAGATTAATAGAACTTTAAAAAAGCCACTGTGAACTACTTAGAGGAAAAATTAAAATGGAAAGTAAGGTTAGTGGGCTAAAGAGCTGTCAGAAACAAAAGAAGTAAAATCACAGAGCAACAGAAAGTGGAGTCGGAATGAGAGCTCCTTAGCTTAAGATTCACCTTAAAGCAAGAAGAGAAGAGAGAAAGTCTAGTATGTTATATGAAAAAATTAGGGAGCAGTTAACAAGAAAAGACCAATATGGTAAGAAGTTGAAATAAAACAACTTGAATTCACTCTCAGAGCACTAGAAATAAAACTGAAGGCTGTGAGAAATAATCTGAATCAGGTTGTAAAAATGTGAAATGACATGAGAAGCAGCTTTCTTGAGAATGGAATGCAAGAATCTTAAAGGATGGAATCCTGACCTTGCCAAACAAAAGGAGTTAGAAATGGCTAATAAGGAAATTAACTTGAGTCTATGTCAGAGGATTCACTGGAGGTGACTCATGTCATTGTGCTAACTTAGAAGATGAGGCACAGGATTTAAAGAAGACATTAGGTCAACTCCCAAGTCAGATGCAAAAAGCACAGGATCAACATACAGAGGCCCTGAGATGTGCTGAGAAAACACAGGATCACATCCGAAAACTTGAAATTGAAAATGCAAGTTTAAAACCACAGCCAAAAAGCAAGCAGGCAAAATTGAACAGCTTCAGAAAAACCTGTTAAGTGCAAGTTCGGCTGATGATCTTACAGCGGAGCTAGAAACTGCATCTTCAAAATGTCTGCACCTGGATGCAAAAAGTCAACTTCTTCGACAGGAGTTATTATCTATGAAAGTAATGCAAAAGAAATGTGAAAAACTAGAGAATAAAAAGAAGTTGCAGCAAGAAGTAGTGAACCTCAAAAGTCATATAGAAATGAATATGATAGAACAGTCAAGCAGAGCAGTATAAACAGTAGATTGAAGAAAGAGCAAGATAAGATTTAGTAAACTAAAAGAAGTCAACCTGTTTTTGTAGATACAAGCAGCATCTCAAGAAAACTTAGAGCAATCATGAAATTAGAATAATGCTTGAATAAGAAGTCAGATCCTAAAGGAATCCCTCAATCAATCCTAAAGGAATCCTAAAGGAATTAGTCAATCCTAAAGGAAATCAGTCCTGAATATTCACTGGAAGGACTGAGGCTGAAGCTCCAATACTTTGACCACCTGATGCGAAGAACTGACTCATTGGAAAAGACCCTGATGCTGGAAAAGACTGAAGGCAGGAGGAGAAGGGGACGACGGAGGATGAGATGGTTGGATGGCATCACTGACTCATTGGTCATGAGTTTTAGCAAGCTCCGGGAGTTGGTGATGGACAGGGAAGCCTGGCATGCTGCAGTCCATGGGGTTGCAAAGAGTCGGATACGACTGAGCGACTGAACTGAAAAAGTCAGATGGAACTCAATTAAAGACTTGGAATCTGAACTCTCCAAGATGAAAACCTTTTAAGAAGTTTCTAATAAAAAGCAGAATTAGGAAAATATAAACAACTCTACCTAGAAGAACGAAAAGTTAGAAAGTCATTGGCAAATAAACTAGACAAAACTAATAAAAGGCAGGCAGAGATCAGAATAAAACTAGAGAACTAGAAGCTGCTGCTGCTGAATTTGAATCTGGATCCCATAGAGCGTCTCCCCTGGGATCCACAGATGAGTCAAATCTATATCAGGACCTACTTTTGAAAACATCACAAGAACATGTGTAGATTTTGAAGAGAAAATATATGATCTAAAAGATAAACAGTCAAAATTTCCCTATTACTGTTTATATTTCATTTTAGTGTTTTCCCATTAAACATGACGAGAAAATCTTTCTTAAAGGAAAATATTTTTTGTGGGGGGAAAAAAAAAACTTTAGGCAATGTCAACATTCTCTAAGTTTTTCCCCAATCTTAGATACTGCGGGAGACAGGAATAAGAAATACTGCTTTGATTCTTTATACAGTATTAATAATGATTTAAACTGGTTGTTAACATCAATAATCAACTTTTAAAATAAAATTAGAATGACCTACATAAATATGGGCAATTCCAACTACAGCAGAAACGTTTTTAGCAACCGTGATCAAACAATCGAAAACGAAGCACACACTGCCGAACAGTTACTAACACCAGCCAGCAGAGGGGTACAACCCAAACCTCAGGCGAAGCCGATGGAGTCATCTTCGCTGATGGTTAGTTGGAAAAAATGCTTTATCAAAAACAGAGTATCAGAACCTTTCTGTAACTGCTTTTAGCCTTCAATTAGACCTGCTAGGTATTTATTTTAGGTGATGGGTAGGTTTTGTCCAGGCAGGAGGTTATAACTCCCACCAAAATTTAACCAGAAAAAAATAGGCTGAAACTTAAACTTCCTGGACCACTGACGTATCAGCCAGAATCTACTTCCCTGACGTCACTGTCTGTACCCTAACGCAAAGTGTCTTATATATCCATCAACAATCCAAGTTGTGGAGCTGAGAACTAAAGTAAAGACAAGGTCGAAGTTGTAGTTCAAGAATCTAACTGTCACGCCTTGTACTCAGTTCGATTTAGGGTAAATTTTTTCATAGAAAAAGTTCTGTGCGAGGATGTAGAGGTCTCCGTCTTTCTCTCGTACAGCATGGGCTCTGATGAACTGGAACTGCTCTAGTGCAAACTCATAGAACTCGTTCTCCATTTTCCAAATGTCAGACTGCTGTAGTTTTGCAATGGTTTGTTTAGTAGGGAGTTTCTTCTCTGTGGTTTTCCTAAGATGAGATTTCTTTCCTACTTACAAAGGCAAAAGAGAAAAGGTAAATAAATTCTGAGAACACACACAAATATCAATGCCTGTTTATTTGAAGAGATGACACGTGGAAAGCAGGTAACATAACTGTTTTGTCTTAAAATCATTCAGGCAAAAACAGTGTCCTAATCAGTGATTTGTTCCTTCATAAGACAAATCTTTATCCTCGTTAAAGATTTAATGAGATGTCAAATAATAAAAGAATTGCCACTTGGTAACGCGTAGATGGTCACTGTACATTTTATACTCTCAAATGCTTTGTGTTCTGACTAGTTTGTTTTTAAAGATATAAAATATCTATTTTTCAAACTTTGGACTGATTTCTCATAACCTTTATTCTGTATTCCTATGTATTAAAAGCTAGGGCATATGCATACTCTAGGGAGAAAAAAAGAGTCCCTCTGATTGTATATTACCAAAGAATAGGGGGGAAAAAAATCAGGATTAACCTGCACCAGCACAGTCATCTTCAGATTTTTAATACTGTCAAGGCTACTGAAACATACTTTTAGGAGCATTATAGCAGACAAGAGCACAGGCTCATTACCAGCATGATTCAGTCTCCCAGTCCTACCCCCACCTAAAATGGCACCAGACATGTCTAAAGGGTGGAATGCATGGCCAGCATTACTGAGTATCACACAATTTCTAAGGCTGGCACTATAGTCTGTATCTTTCCACTATACCCACAATGCCTTTTAATTATCATCTCATGCATGTTTATTCATTCAAAAGATATTTAGTGAACACCATCTGTGTGCCATGTATTGTTCTGTATTGAAAATGGTGAGGAGAAATGGACAATATACCTGCCTTTCTGGAGTTTTACTCAACAGACTTCAAATCATACATATTTTGCAAGTGGCAAAGTTAAAGTCAGCTTAAAAACAAAAACAAAAACAAAAACTATCCTTTACATACCTGTACGATACAGTTCTGTAGCACCCCTGAAGAACCGGGGTAAAGCTGCCTCCAGTAACATGATAAAATCTTCAAGCTCTTCAGTTACTCCCACCAGAAAGTATTCATTAATTAGGTTATACTTGGCTTGATCCATAGCCCACCTGCTTCCCACATTCCTAAAACCAAAGAAAAAGAATAAAAAACCTGGTTGTAGAATCTGCTAAGTATTTTTGATGACTTTGACACTGTATATTATGGAAAAAACAGATAAACATGTGCTCATTCAAAGACTTAATGCCCTTTTATTAATGTCCTTCGGGAGGCACACCTGTTCTTAATTTCCTTTGCCTCTGTCTCTAATTTCTGCTGAACCATGCAGGGCTAATTCAAATTTTACCAGGCGACACAACAGGAACAGTTAAAAAATATGTATATTTATGTATCCTCCTATCTGATTTAGGTATGAGGACATCTAATTTTTGTTTACAGTTGACACTTGAACAACATGGGTTTGACCTGCACAGGTCTGCTTATATTCAAGTATTTTTCAATAGTAGATACTATTAATACTACATGAACCATGGTTGGTTGAATTTGCAGACCCAAGGAATCATGAATACAAAAGGCCAAGTATAAGTTATACTGGAATTAACCCCTGCCTTGCTCAAGGGTCAACTGTACTCTAAACTT